GGAAGGAAAGGGGAGTTCTGGAAAGTCCTTGGGCATGCACAGTTCTCTCTTCATGCCATTTCATGGGTCCTGTGTGCAAATTCAGGGGGAGTTAGTATGAAACATGCAGTGGGAATTAAGGCTGTGACTTCAGCATACTCATTCTGCACAAATGCCAGTCTGCTATCTTAGTTCAAACAGATTTCAGCCAGTTCTTTTATCTCATAAGCAGAGCAAGTTTCAGTGTTTCAGCAAATTGTTTCTTACTGCCATCATGAAAACTCAAGAATTTCTTATAGACGTTGGTTGTTGGTTTCTTTTTTTTTTTTTTTTTTTGAGATGGAGTCTTGCTCTGTCACCCAGGCTGGAGTGCAGTGATGCAATCTCAGCTCACTGCAGTCTCTGCCTCCTGGGTTCCAGCAATTCTCCTGCCTCAGCTTCCCCAGTAGCTGGGATTACAGGTGAGCGCCACCATAGTTGGCTAATTTTTGTATTTTTAGTAGAGATGAGGTTTCACCATGTTGGCCAACCTAGTCTCAAACTCGTGACCTCAGGTGATCCACCTGCCTCAGCCTCCCAAAGTGTTGGGATTATAGGCGTGAGCCACCATGCCTGGCCTGTTAGTCATTGGTTTCTCTAACTCTTTGGGACACAGCTTCAAACTAAGTTCTGAAAATAAGTGAGTACAGTACAATATATTCAGAGAGAGAGACCACATTCACATAACTTGTATTATAGTATAGTATTATAATTGTTCTATTTTATTATTGTTGTTGTTTATCTCTTGCTGTGCCTAATTTATGAATTAAACTTTATTGTAGGTATATATTAGAAGTATAGAATCAACTTACCTGTATATAGGTAAAAACATACTATATATAGGGTTTGGTACTATCCACGGTTTCAGGCAGCCACTGGGGGTCTTGGAATATAACCCCCATGAATAAGGGGGGACTACTCTATATTTATTATAGACTTTTCCTCTTAAGCATATAATGTAAAATATTTTAACTTCCTTTTTAAATTAAATGAGTAAGAAATAGCCCTGTTAACATATTAAGTGATAATATGCTAATCATGTCATATTGTTTTAAAATTTGGAGGCTATCTTCTCTATTTCACTCTCTAAGTCTACCCAAAGAATCACATAAACCAAGACAATTCTTGCAACAATGGCATCATAACTGTCATCACAACTGATCCTTTCAGCCATTTTCCAAGTGCAGTAACTAGGTATTTTGATCCATGTCACATAAACTATGCCAGTGGTTTCATTTTCCTGTTTTCTATCCTAGTTCCTGATAATGTGTGTTCAGAGCCCCAATGAGCATGTGCTCTTCAAGACTAAATTACTTCTTGGTAATAGTGGAGGCAAGAAGGAGCACTAACTCTTTAACACTGCTGGGAGAGCACTATTTAATAGCGTACTCCTCAACTGGGGGTTGTGTGACCCCAGTCTGAAGGGGACCGGGAAATGTGTTGCAGGAAGTGAGGGACCCTGAACGGAGGCACCAGCTGAAATTGTGGCAGAAGAATATAAATTGTGAAGATTTCATGGACATTTATCAGTTCCCAAAATTAATACTTGTAATTTCTTACACCTGTCTTTACTGCAATCTCTGAACATAAATTGTGAAGATTTCATGGACATTTATCACTTCCCCAACAATACTCTCATAATTTCATATGCCTGTCTTTACTTTAATCTCTTAATCCCGTTATCTTTGTAAGCTGAGAATGTACGTCACCTCAGGACCACTATTGTATAAATTGATCACAAAATATGTATGTTTGAACAGTATTAAATCGGTGCATCTTGAAAAAGAACAGAATAGCAGCGATTTTCAGGGAATGAGGGAAGATATCCATAAGGTCTGACTGCCTGTGGGGTTGGGCAGAATACAGCCATATTTTTCTTCTTGTAGAGAGCCCATAAATGGATGTGCAAGTAAGAGAGATATTGCTGAATTCTTTTCCCAGCAAGGAATACCCTGGGGAAGGAATGCGTTCCTTGGGGGAGGTCTATAAACTATCGCTCTGGGAGTGTCTGTCTTATGCAGTTGAGATAAGGACTGAAATACGCCCTGGTCTCATGCAGTACCTTCAGGCTTACTAGGATTGGGAAATTCCAGTCTGGTAAATTTTGGTCAGACCAGTTCTCTGCTCTTGAACCCTGTTTTCTGTTAAGGTGTTTATCAAGACAATATATGCACAGCAGGACATAGACCCTAATCAGTAATTCTAATTTTGCCTTTGCCTTATGATCTTTATTGCCCTTTGAAGCATGGGATCTTCATGACCTACTCCCTGTTCGTACACTCCCTCTCCTTTTAAAATCCCTAATAAAAATCTGCTGGTTTTGCAGCTCAGGGGACATCACAGACCTACCAATATGTGATGTCACCCCCAGGGGCCCAGTTGTAAAATTCCTCTTTTTGTACCCTCTCTCTTTATTTCTCAGACCAGCTGACACTTAGGGAAAATAGAACTTATGTTGAAATATTGGGGGCTGGTTCCCCCGATAGAAATGTGTGGGTACATTTTGTTGTCACAATAACAAGAATCTGCTACTGGCATTTAGTGTCTGGGGATCTGGACTGGTAACTTACTATGCACAGAACCATCCCACACTACGAAGAAATCTCCAATCCAAAATGCCAGTTGTGCCTTGTGTTGAAATACTGATTTAGTGAGTATAGCCTTTATTAGTCAAGATTTTTAGCTGCAAATAACAGAACCAACTTTGGCTAGTTTAAATGGAAAGGGAACTAATTAAAGGATATTCAGTAGCTCACAGAATCTTTAGAAGGTCCAGAAAATTAGGCTGAGTGGCTAAGCAGTAGGAACAATGCCTTGTTACACTGCCAGCTGCTCTGGAAGAATCCAGCTAGTGCTACTTTTTACCAGCTTGTAATTCCTACACAGAATAGGGATATGTGGGATGTGGGATGCCCCAGCTAGGTAGGGCCTTTGCCGCTACTGTTTCTGAGGTGGCTATCTCTCCACCATCCCTGCCAGGATGAACTGATTCCATGCAGGGTTTCCCTGTTGCTTTGTGGAGCCCAGGTCACATATTTGAACTCCAGTGACATGGAAGGCTGAAAGGGTGAGTTCTTGGCCTCCACCTTGGGGTCTCTGTCCTGGGGAAGCAAGGCTCACAAGGTAGGTAGAAAGCTACATGAAGATAGGAGTTCAAAAGATACTGGGCAGTCACCAAGTGTGACAAATGTCCACCAAATCATCAAAGGCCCTTGTTACAGACCTCTCCCTAAAGACAATTCTTGAGCATGGACCTGGGAAAAACAGCTTCTAAATTTGTCTTCCAGAATCTTGAAAGGCAACATTAGTCTCTCCCTACTGTTGCATATTCATTCTATTTTCTCTACTTCAATTAGCACATCAGATATTCTTTGGATTCGTGCATAAGTATCATTTTCATTTCTTTCCTCAGCACTGTAATTCCTGTCCAGCTGTAAGATTTATTTCTTTGTCCTCTCACCTCCTACAACTTCATATATCACACATTAGTGGTTTCAAAAAAAAGATTTTTTGAAATTATGGGTAAGATAACATATTTGGCTAAAAAAAATCAGTGAAGACAATGTCTTTTGTTCAAAGACATTATCATGGCAACATTGTGCCCAAGTGGTTTTGGGCAGGAAATATCAGGAATAATTTAAAGCATTGTACCAGGCTGGGTATGGTGGCTTGTGCCTGCAATCTCAACACTTTGGGAGGTCAAGGTGGGAGGATCACTTGAGGCCAGGAGTTCAAGGCCAGCTTGGGCAACAGTAAGACCCTGTTTCTACAAAAAATTTTAAAATTCACTGGGCATGGTAGTGTGCCTGTAGTTCAAGCTACTCAGGAGACTGACGCAGGAGGATCCCTTGAGCTCAGGAGTTGGAGGCTGCAGTGAGTTATAATCTGGTTGCACTGCTGCACTCCAGCCTGGGTGACAGAGCAAGACCCTGTCTCTAAAAATAAATAAATAAAGCATTGTACCAATTTGCTGTGTTTACCTAAGGACAAGAGCTGCTTCTGCATATACCAAAAGTTGGCAGGACTGCAAGCAGGACTGTGTAACTTTTCTCAGATCAGTCAAAGAATGTAACACATAAATATACAGGTCAGTGTCATTGAATAGTAGCTTTTCAGAAACAATGTGAACCATTACAGGGAAAGCAACATAGATTTACTGAAAACAATGAATTAATTTCTTAGTTTAATTGTTTCTTTGATGCTGTTATAGAATTTCATGGTCTTCCAATAAATGATTAAATGATGGAATATGCAGAGGAATAAATATTATAGTTTACATTTTAAAATCATCCCAAATCACCTAACTTTATCAGTTACACTTAATGGATTCAAATAAGCAGTTTTGAGCATATCACCTTGGAGATGATAATAGCACCTTCCTCTTTAGAAGCTCTCAAATTACCTTATAAATAAGCCTTTATCTTCAAAACCGTGATGCAGAAATGAAGTGCTGTAGTTAACATCACAATTTTAAATTCACTGACTCTAAGTGAACTACTTTAATATTCATTTTCACTGTGAATGAAATAATCTAGGGACTTGTCTCATTAGCATCTGTGCTGCTATCAAATTCATATAGGGACCTAGAAACTGTTTTTTAAAGTACACCAAGTTTATGTATTTTTATATGAAGTCTATCTACCTGGGAAAACTGGAATTTAGGGTTGTCTCTATAATTTGTTTAAAGACAAAATTATTATAGGTGAGATTTGAAAGTGTTGAAAACAAGGGATGATGACAGGTTATCCATCAATTTATGTGTGGAGATACTAAACGTTTTTATAGTATAAAATCTATAGTTTGATTATATAATGAAGTAAATCACTATCTTGATTGTAGAATGAAATAAATTCCTAATTTGTTACATGATGTGATAGATGGTTTCTGCATCTGTGATCGAATGCATAGAAACAAACACATCTGTTTGGTCACATGCCTGAAATAATGCCCAGAAAATGAAGTCAAACGGCTTTAATTACCTCCTTATGGGAGTGCCTGGCTGTTGGGATGACTGGAAGGTAACACATTTGGGGTTTTGGAATGAATAATTTGAATCTTAAAATTATTAATCTTAAAATTAAGATTTTTTTGTCTCAAATTAAATTTTAATTAAAAATTATTTACTTAAAAATTAAAATTTATTAAATATAAATCTAGTATATCTTAAAGGCCTATAAAAATACTTCTGCACTGAGAAGTAGACTAATACAATAATAATCTAACATTTTATAAATGGGACTAAGTTCAAAGCTGACAAGAATTTTGTCCTACTGTTGAAAATATTACTTTTTGACATTCCTAATTAATCTAGGACATATTATTTTTCCAGTGACTGATTCCCAAAAATGTTGGCATTTGTTGATAAATATGAATATGTGCCACTGGGGCTTCCCTACCCGAAGCTGAGAACCAACACAAGTCACAGTGTAAAGTCTTCTAGAACTCTAAGCTCCTCCTGCCAACAGATGGAATAGCGTGGCCCCATCAAGGCCTCACACAGCAGTAGCTGAGACAATGGTGTCAGCATGAGTAGCATCATGGTGTGGTCACAAAGAGCACTGTTCTAGGATCCTTGAAAATCACCCAGCCAAACTCTTTCCAATTCCAGATTGGGCAGTGAGGCTCAGAAAAGTGAATTGGTTTGGTCAAGATCATGTGTCAGTGGTGGACCCAAGTCTAGAAGACACAGTCTAGAAGGCCCAAGCCAGCACTCTGTGGCCAACCATGCAGCCTCCCTGTCACAAGACAAGGCTACATAACATACGGTACTGACTCAGGACAACTCACTCTGCCTATGTGACCCAAAGAGCAATTATTCCGTGACTGACTAATGGGAATAAAGTCACTTGGAACATTTCAGATCCCAAACTTAGAGTTCTGTAAATTAATGTCTTATTCGCTTTTAAAAATGGAAAACAAAATTTGTTTTATTTTATACCTTCCATTTTCTTCATAGACCTTCTTAAATGGAGATTTCATTGAGAAGGATGAGAATCCTTAATCCCTATATTAAGTGTCTGGGTGATTTTTCAGTTCCGTCACATCAGCTGATCACTCTCATATATGTTCAGAGAAATTTAGGGCTGCAAGCAAGCTGGTATAGTCAAAAGAAAGTGACTTTCCTTTTCTTACACTTCTTTAATTTGTCAAATATATCATACTTGGTGGAGAGAAGAAGCGCTGCATTTTGGAAAAAGTGTTGACTTTGAATTAGAAAAGATCGCAGTTTAAATTTGGCCTTACCTTTATTAGCTTTATAACCTTGGGCTATTTAACCACACAGGGCCCCGGTTTCCTAATCTGTAAAAGTACTAATTACTTCCTAATAGGGTCACTGAAGGGAAGAAATTTAATCATGAGCCTAAATCACCTGGCACACAATCTGGGACTTAGTATTTAACAAAAATCATGATTTTAAACTAAAGTAACAATAAGACATATACCCCAGATTGCAAAATGTATATACTATTTCAGCCTTTCAAATTATCTAGATGGATTGGGAATCGCTCCCAGAGGATATTTGTAGATACATGCTGAGAAGTGCCTTCTCTCCAGAAATACTGTTAACTTAGATTAGGGGGTGGTAAGGATAACACGGGGGCATTGACATAGAGCCATAGAGCCCCGGGTGACAGTTCAAGTCCAGTTCCCTGATAGCAGTGGGGCCCTGGATAAGGCATGCCACCTCTTGGAGTCTGTTTCCTTGTTTGAAAAACAAGGCAAGGCCAAAACTATCTTTGCTTTCTACCTTAAGGATTTACTTAAAGAAGCCAGTTACAAACAGTCAAGCCCTCTACCACTGAAAGGGGTTTCATGGCAAACAGCTCCCAGGATTCTGCACCTGGATGGATCTCCACTTTCCATCTTTGCTAGGATGTCACACCAGTGACACATTCTTAGCTGTTTATAAGATGCTATTTATATTTTCTTTGAATTTAAGGTTCTGTTGTTAATTCTCTGTGAAGCTGACTGACTTGATATCATTTTAAAGGGTAAAGTTAAAGGTGATTTAACAACTGTGCTATCTTAGCATGAAGGACAGGAACATGAAGGTGAAGCAACACTGAAACTATCGGAACTCTGACTTCGTTATACCAACATAGATCCAGCTACTCTCAAGAGTGAAAAAAGGAAATGAGGAAAGGCAACAAGGGAAAACAATATGTTTATTAAGAGCCATGAAAATGCATAAACTCATTTGTAAATAAATGTAGTATAATTTACCCAGTGAAAAAATAGCTAAAATCCATGAGTAAACTGGATTTTATATTTGAAGTGATTTCACATATTTGATCTCCAGTGATTTCCCCCTCCATCATGATCTATTGGTAGCAGCAGTTTTGCAATGACTATAGAAAAAGCTGTTACCAACAGTCATCACACCAGGGGAAGTTTTCAAGAATGCTCTTCAAAAGAGAAGCAGCGCAAACAAATTCAGATGACAAGGGATACGGTAAGACCTGGAGCTTATCTTCAGAAATGTAAAAAATAAAAATCCCACACATGTATTCCTTAAGAAACGAAAAAGCAAAACTACATTTTGATCAGTGAAAAATATTATAAGGTTATATAAAACATTCTTAACCAGTGATTGCAATAATTACATTTATAAATGTTCATTCAAGTACTATTGTTCAATAAACATTCAAATTCTCATTAAAAGTAACACTAGATGTAGACACACCTGGACAATGCTTCTTTTGATGTAGCAACAATCATGTCAACAGGAGGCAAGTGACCCTTAAAATACTGTTGTTGGCTCTGTTTTATTCTATTTGTCTGTGAATGATTTGTTCAGTCTGTATTTTCTTTTTCTGCAAGGACCCGAGGAATATCTCACAATAGCTAATTAAGAAATCATTTCTATAAAATGATTCTCAATATTACAGAAACAGACACTCTAAAACACAAGTGTAGCTCAAAAAATAATAGGGCAGAATCAGTTTTCTTTGGCAAGAAATTGCTAATTCCTCACCAAATGTTGGTTTCCTGTTGTGCAGACACTATCAGAAACTTCTTTGGTGTTTACCAAAGAGCTACTTAATAAGCTGGAAAGATTTCATAAGCTATGTTGTCACAATCACAATGTAGAGCTTATGTCAAAGTTGTGCTGAAATCAACGTCATTTGCTGGATTACTGTTGTTAATAAGTCTTTCTTCAAAAAGTTCCCTCCTAATTTTGGCCTGAGTCTCAGGCTTTAATAAAAATTCCTTTATCTGTTTCACTTTGGACTTCAGACCCATCGTTTCTCGATGCAAAGCTTCATTAATTAAGTCTCGAATTCCAATAGGTTTCTTGCCTAAGAAAAAAAAATTATATAATACACTTCATTAAATATGGCATACTGACTTATCAAAATAGGATTTAAAAAAACTTTAAAATGTTGCCCACATTTTATAGAAAAGGTTGCATTTCACCAAAAATATATCATTTACATGAAACATAATTTACTATAAATAAAGATCACTGCATAGCAACAGCACACTTAGGACAAAAATGAAACATTATGGACTAATTGTACAAATGACAATTTCAACAGTGATTATTTTAAACTTAGCACTTGATAGCTGTGTGTGAGAGTTCTGGCCTCAGATAAAGTAGTCAAATGCCCTGCTAAGCAATATAAATGGCAGTATTCCATTGATGGCAAGGCCTCTTTCACGGCCTTTAATTTGTGTCCAGGAGGCATAACCAAAAGTTCCCTCTCCCTTGTGCATGGCTGAGGGCGAGCAAAACTTGGGCCATTCTTCTTTCATCAATTAATTTCCTCTGCCAGTCCCAGCACTCCGTTTTTCTTCTGTTGTGTTTCAGAAATGCAAACACATCGATCATGAAAGTATTAGGCAATCTCCACAGATTGGACCAGAGAAACTTAAACAGCACGCTGCAAGTCAGTCCCTAGACTCAGCAGAGGGGAGGAGGGAGGCTTTGCACAGAGACATGGGGGCCTGCGTTCTGGCCTCATTTCCTGTTGTTCTCATTGTCATTGCCATTCCGATCAGCTGCTTCAGTTTTCACAGAGCTCCCCTCCCCTGGCTTGTTTTTATTCTGTGTTTCCTCCAGATACTGCTGGACAGCCTTGAGCACCGCGTTCTCCACCAGCCTTTTACTGAGCCTTACTAGTTCAGCGTCATCGGGCTCCCCTCCGTTCTTTTCACCTACATTCCACAATAGAGAAGAGAGGTCACTGAGATCACATTGCCATAGAAACTTGGCATGCAGGGGCCGGCTAGTTCCATTAGTTAAAAAGAGCAAGTGTAAATTGGATCTATAAATTCAAGAACAGTGGGTTGGCTTTTCATTGGGTATTTGCGGAAGCAGAAGCCTGTCTATTCCTGAAGGCTTCAGATTAAAAAGTAGTTCATTAGTCCCAATCTAGACAAGCTCTACCTACCAATGTGGGATGTTTCCCATTTATATGTGAATTTCTGTTCTCTCATCCAAGGCTGATTACTACTACTAACGTCCATGTCCCCACCACGTGAAGTCTCAGACATGTGAATTCACACTAAGTAGACCTATGTCTGCTTCTCATTCTCCAATATCAAATATCAGGTCGTCAAGATTTCCCCAGCATCTCATTACTTAAGATCACTAATTTAAAAGTGCTTGGCCTATAGGTTGGTTGTTAATAAATGCTCAGTGCTGCCATGAAGATAAAGGCAGTCACTACCACTAGGAATTGGTTTAAAATAAGCTTGTAAGACTAATATTCTTTTTAATTCCAGTGCTATCACTGCAATTTAAGAAATAGGAAATTCTTCAAAGAAAAATTAAGATTATAATGGTACATTACTAGATGTAAATATTTTATGGTCATTTTACTTCCCTGATAGTAATGATCCAGGTGTAATTATTCCATCTTTTGTTTTACTCTAAAAGAGCTGGTTTCCAACTATTCTCATGGTAGACATTTCCCAGTCATTCTCTTTCTTGTCTCCCTTAACTGTGGAAAGGAACTAAGGGGCTCCTTCCCCAGTTAAGGGAGACAAGGAAGAGAATGACCATTCAGTGCTCACTCTCCTCCCATCGAGCTGGGGACCCAGGAAAGAACAAGGTTGGAGGCAAAGAAGTCACAGGATGCTTGCATATTAAAATCAGCTCAGTTTTGGAAGACTACTCATGGGTTCCAGAAGACAAAGTCAGTGTTGCACTTCCATCTCTGGGTCTGGGACAGGCAGATACAAAGGGTGTGAGCTGGAAGATGGACACTACTTCCCATACTCACATATAATAGGGATTGAAGAACAGAAGCAGGTAGGCCAAGGGTGAGAACTGGCCCCCAACCTTGTTTCAGAGCCCCCTACTTGTACGTAACACCCATCAAGACCAACCGTGCTTATAACCATCCCCTTCATTCCTGGCAACATCCCAAGCAGAAGAGAGGGTGGGATAAGACCCATCTAGAAACACTAATAGTGGGAACCCTTAGCAACTGCCTTCTCCTCAAATACGGCAATATGGCACCCCAGACCCATGATCAGAAGTCCAAGATAGAACACCTGCAGTGCAAAATATGTTTAGAATTGAGTAAATGTCAACTCAGTAATAACTAAATATAACTTGCTAAATAATACTATTAAAGTAAAGAAATTCATAGATAATGTATTTACTATTAAAGTAAAGAAATTCATTGCTAACGTCATTTTGGGTGGCAAGTTAAGACTTTTTGTTTATCAGAGTTAATGAATACATTGCCTAATATTTAGGGATTTTATTTCAACCTTATAACACGGTGTTTATACTCTATAGACAATATCTCCAAATGAATGTGGAACTGTTTCTATAATGACTCTTCCCATTTAAAAGGGAAAACTCCAACTGCAAATGAAGGAATACTTTTTAAGTACCCTCCAAA